GCTGGCCACCAATCCACCCAACCCTTGTCTTGTGAAGGTGAAGCTGGGGCCTGGAGAAGGGAAGTCCCACAGTGTGGTGTGAGGGCTATGCTCAGGGCCAGACCTTCTGGCCCAGGGCCCAGCATTCTTTCCCCACATCTCATTCTCCCTTCATCCATGCTTGTCTTGAGGGGTGACCACCAGCCCCCAGTAAGCTCCTTTCCCCTGGTCCTTACAGCCTGGAGGAAAAGACTTGCCCTTGGATCACAGTGGCATGGTGATCCCAAGTGACACCGATTTCCTAGACACGTGGGAGGTAAGCTGGGCTCACCAGCAGCATCTTCATGACACTGATGGGCCTCCAAATGGGCAGCCATAAGATCCTGAGCCTCTTGTGTTCATTGACACCAGGTTGTCTCCCTGAAACAGAGGTGTGCGGGTGCATTGGGAAGGGACACCTGACCATGACTCTCAGAGACCTCAGTCTCCTTTTGTTCCTCTCTCTCTGAAATGTGTAATTTAGGGATAACTAATCATGACCCAATATTTTCTCAAATGTGTATTTTTTTAAGATTTTATTTATTTACTTTTAGAGAGAGGAAGTGAGGGAAGAAAGAAAGGGAGAGAAACATAATTGTGTGGTTGCCTCTCACACGCCCACTACTGGGGACCTGGCCCACAACCCAGGCATGTGTCCTGACTGGGAAGCAAACTGTTCACCCTTTGATTTGCAGGCCAGCACTCAATCCACTGAGCCACAGCAGCTAGGGATCAAATGTGTATTTTTTGATTAAAAATATCACAAGGTCATTAGAGAAACTATAGAGGACTATTAAAATAAAATAAAAATACACTTTTCATTACCACTGGTAGTATTTTATAGTTTTCTTACCTCTTTTATAAGCATTTCAGAATGAAAACTTTGGCAGGTGGTGAAGTGGGGGTGGGTCTGGGACACACATGGAGGAGGGGACCACATTTCAAGCCTGCTGCCAGCATCTAGACAAGGATTGGAGTGATAAGATTTGAAGTAGAGTGTGCAGCATGGGCATCAGGACATGACCAGTGTGAGAGGCATGGCAGTGAATAGATGGTGTGACAGGAGGACACTGGCCTCTAGCCCCAGGCCCACAGGGCACCTGTAATCCTGCAGGTCAACATGAGGGCAAGTGTGACATGTGGGAAGAAAGGAAGTTCACAGTGGAACTGGCTATGTTTGGGGAGATGAGACTCTGCAGCCATTGGGTGAGATGGGCAGGTGCAGGTGCGGGAGTGCCTGAGGGCATCCCAGCAGAGGGGAAGGGGAGCACAGTCCAGGGAAACACCCAGGCAGGCCATCCTCTAAGCAGGGGAATCACTGAAACAGAGATTAACTGAGGGGTCTGATCTGTCAGGAACAGTGTCCAGAAGCCCTCAACTCTGCTGTCACTGATACTGCCTCTCCTGAAAGACAGGAGGAAGCTCGGGATGTCATGTAGCATGAGTGAGCTCTGGGTGACTGTTGCAGTGCACACTGACTGTGGCTCCTGACTCAGTCCATCAGCCTTTTTGCCACTAGGACACATGCTGACTACCTGCCCTGGCACCAGACATGCTCTCTGCTTCTGCCAACAAGTCCACCTTGCTGGTCAGTGAATAGCACAGAGCTGTGGTGTGTCTGCCCTCATGTCCCTTAACAAGGGAACTGCTGGTGGATTAGAAAGAAGGCACAGCATCACCTATTTCCACCCCAGTAGGAAACAGCTCAGGTGGCCTTGAATTTTGTTGCTGTATGCATGTCTGAGAATGATCAGCAAACCCTCAAAAGTATTGTTTTTCTATTACAAATAAAGTTCATCCTATAAGCATATAGTCAAATATGGATCCTGAATAGCAAATTTTTAAAATTACTTTACTGTTATTCAATTACAGTTGTCTCCATTTTCTCCACACCACTCCCCCCAACCCCAGCCAAACCCACCTCCATCTTTTGCTTCCACCTTCCCCCTTGGTTTTCTCCATGTGTCCTTCATAGTAGTTCCTGAACACCTTTCTCTCCACTGTCTGCTCCCTTCTTCCCTCTGGCTATTGTTAGATTGTTCTTAATTTCAATGTCTCTGGTTATATTTTGTGTGCTTTTTTCTTTTGTTGGTTAGGTTCCAGTTAAAGGTGAAATCATATGGTATTTGTCCCTCACCACCTGGCTTATTTCACTGAGCATAATGCTCTCCAGTTCCATCCATGCTGTCCCAAAGGGTAGGAGCTCCTTCTTTCTCTCTGCTGCGTAGAATTTGATTGTGTAAATGTACCATCGTGTTCTGATCTATTCACTTACTGATGGGCACTTAGGTTGCTTCCACCACTTGGCTATTGTAAATTGTGCTGCTATGAACATTGGGGTGCATAGGTTCTTTTGGATTGGTGTTTCAGGGCTCTTAGGATATATTCTCAGCAGTGGAATTGCTGGGTCAAAAGGCAGTTTCATTTTTAGTTTTCTGAGGAAATTCCATACTGTTTTACACAGTGGCTGCACCAATCTGCATTCCCACCCACAGTGTACTAGGGTTCCCTTTTCTTCACATCCTCTCCAGCACTTGTTTGTTGATTTGTTTATGATGGATGTTCTGATCTGTGTGAGGTGGTATTTCATTGTGGTTTTAATTTGCATCTCTCTGATGGCTAGTGATGCTGAGCATCTTTTCATATGAAGAGTGAATTTATATACCTGTCTTTGCAATGCTGATTTAGGTCCCAGCCAGCTTCAGAGCTGTTGGCTGAATCTGCCACCAGCTGGGGAAAGAGACCCACTAATGTCCAAGCTCAATGAGCAGCTGCTGGTAGAAGGTGCCTTTGCAATGCCTGTTCCATTTCAAGGGGTTTTGTTTTGTTTTCTTTTGTTTTTAAACACTTTGTGAGTCATTGTGAGGAAAGAAACAACAGCAAAAATAAGTAAACACTAGGGAATTGGAAAGCTTAGGAAGTTTCACAGAGTTTACCTGGAAGCAAAGGGGCCACAAACAAAACCTGACAGGCTCAGGGGGGCCTGGGAAGCAGCCTTCAAACTTAGAGACACAAAGTCACCACACAGGTTGTTCTGAAGTTCAGACTGTCTAATTAAAAGCAGGTTTTGTCCTTAGTCATGTCCTAGGCCAGTATTTTTCCCTAACAAAGGTCAAACTTTACCTTAACTGAGCCTGTCAGTTACCTTTTGGCATCTATGGTAACATGCCTGAGGAATGTGGAATTTCCTTTCCCTGGACCCCTCACAGCACAGACACCATACCAGGGGGACACCATGAACCCCCTCCCTGTTACTGTGATGGTGTTAAATGTTGACTGTAACTATTCTGTACCCACCTGTGTAAAAGAAGTCTGTGTCTATCATTTTACCTTTCATCCAACCCAGACGGCCCCCCACCCACCCAGCTTTGCTTTCTCCCGCCTCCTCATCTATCACCAATGCACTTCTGGTGACCCCTTATGCCTCCTCTTTTGACTGTGACGTATAAAATAAGGTGCTAAGCTGCCATTCTCCAGAGCATTTCTCAATGGGTGGAGGGTTTGCTTCCCAGAGACTGTCAGCAGTTTGACTCAAATAAAACTGTGAACATTCTCAACCAGTGTGAAAGGTCTCTTACCTGGACAGCAGTCCCAGTTCCCCATGAGTTCCCACACCCCTGTGCATGTGGCACTTGAAGGCGCTCTGCAGCTCCTGCCTCACAGGCCCTCCTCCCTGGGGCCCTGCTTTTGTCTGCACAACCTGCCTTCTGTGGAAGGTCTTTCCCACTCCAGGGCCTGCAGACTCAGGTCCCAAGAGAAAAGTTACACAGGTGTCCCTTTCAAGGGGCCCACTTGTGTCAGATGGCTGGCTTCTGTTTCTGATGGCTTTAGGATGGGGGAGGTGGCTCAGCTCAATGAATAACTGTCCCATTTGGGTTTTCTCTCCTTTCACTGAAATGGAAACCCAAGGATACCAGGAAAATTAGAGACATACCCAGCAACAAAGAAAATAGCCTAATAGGAGATGTTTTTTTTTGTGGGGGGCAGGGTTGTTGTAGACAGACATCAGGGGCAATTGGCAAAGAAAGGGAAGCAGGAAATTAGGGAGAAAGGCAGGAAAAGGAAGCTAGGTATCCAGGCCCTTTTTTCAACCACATCAGGGGACCCGGGTCTACTGGAAGACAGCCTGGCCTACCTACCCAGCAGGTGTTTAAGGGCCACTCTCAGGTACACCCAGCTGATTTCTCCCACTCCTCCCTGGAGTTGAAATGGGAGCTCCTGGCTCCTGTGGCAGCACCGGGAAGCAGTGCACTTCCATCACCCCTGCCCTGTGCTTTGTTACAGTGTTCCCTCCTCCAGATGTGATGCACAGCAAAACCTTATTCTTTCCCCTTTCCACAGTCAGTGTTCTTCTAACGAGTTTCAGCCAGGAGGGAAATATCCCATGCGTCTCCCGACAGGTGTGCCATTTCCCCTGCACTCCAGCCTCATCGCCCATCTGGGTTTCCATCGGAACCGTTTCTCCTCAGGCTGGAGAAGTTCCTCTGAAGGTTCTTTGTTGAACTTTTCTCTTTTTTATTTGTCCCAACTTTCTTTGCAATTGCTGTTGAAACAGTTGTATTAGGACGGCTGCTTTAAGACCTGTGATGATTCTCATGTCTGGGTCATCTTGGTACAGGCCTCTGTTGCTTGTCTTTCATTCAGTTTATTCCTTCCTTCTTCTTGCTATTATGAGTTATCTTTCATTGAAATCTGAACATCTCAGAAATTTTATATTAAGTGTTAAATCTCCTTCAAGGAACTGATAGAATGTTATAGAGTGGCAAATTCATAAAACAGAGAGAAAGTAAAATGAGAACTATAGGACAAGACAGGAGTGGACTTTGAAACTTTGGAGCACAGCAAATTGTTAGCTTTTTTTGAGAGCCCGTATCTGCTAAGATCACCTCCTGGGATGTCAGTATTTCAGCCTCAGTGACACAGGGGGAAAAGCAAAACAAAACAAACATACAAACACACAGAAGAGCCAAAGCAGTGGTAGGTTTTGTTGTCAAATTTTATCATTATTTATTTGGGGAAAAAACTTGGGTTTAGAGACTTCTTTCCTGACCCAGACACACAAGCCTTATTGTGACTGACTGAGGTATGAGGCATGGAACACAACAGACACCTTCTCATCCTTGAGATGATCTCCAACCCTGGGCCACATTTAAAAACAGGAGCATCCTCACACACTTGTCATTAATATTCATCATGAAATGGAAAATCCGGGTGGTCAGCAAAACTAAAAGAAAAAGGAGATCCTTAGTCTCGTGACTGTTTCTGGGCTGGGTAAAGAGAGGCTTCTTTTAAACTGGCTCAAGTATGAGTAGTAGTAAGATACTTTTCTTTCTGGAGAAGTACAAACACAACTAGTTTTCTAATAACCCTGTACAGTTGCATCACACTGTAGTAAACTCATTGTTAGAAATAAATATACTTACTGACACTTGAGCATCTACATAAAAATACACTAATGTAGTCTGTTATTGCAGGTATATAATTCTACAGCTTAAGGAGACAGAACTATTGGTGTTGAGCTTTTACCTCCCAGGAAGACCTAAATGAATGCTGCCTTCCTTTAAAACAATGACCTACTGGTTTAACATATAAACCTAACAAATATTTCAAGGTAATGGTGAGGAAGATGATAAAAATATCACCAGTGTTCAGTTTCTTCCAAGCATCAGTAATAATTCATCGTTGACTTTACTGGGTGAAAATCTCTATATTAGATCTAGAATGGATACAGTGGTCATGAAATAAGTCACTTCAACAGAGAGCTTCCCTTAGCAAGGGAAGTAACCTCACTCTATGTATATAACCATGTTTGAGATAGAAAATACTGAATCACTGAATAAATATTAATTGAAATTACTGATATTGTGAAGGAATACTACCTGCTGCTCTACTCTCCCTTCCTCTTAACCTTCTATCCTTCTGTTATATTATCCATTCAGCCAATATTCATTGATTATACAAGGAAAGAGTAGCTCTTTAAAGGAACTGTCCTAGCAATCTAACATTCTGTGGTCCAAAATTGTAACCAAATTGGTTAGTAAACTATATGTTATATTAATTATAGGTGTAGTTGCCACAAGTAAAATAAAAGGGGGTGGAGGGGAAGAAAGTGCAGGCAGGGTGCCTTTTTAGATACAGTGCCAGAGAAGGTATTGGGAGGGTGACATCTGAGTTAAGACTTAAGGAGGTGGAGGAGAGACCATCCAGCTACCAGGAGGAGGAGTGAGCTGGCAGAGAGAACAGCCAGTGCAAAGCCCTGAGCCAGGCCTGGCACTTGTGAAAAGCAGCAAGGGACCACTGGGGCTCATGGAGTCAGAGGAGAGAGCAGTAGGATGCGGAGGCAAAGACGGAGGGAGGGAGCACCCTGTTGGCTCATGTAGGTTGTCTAAGGAATTTGTCCTTTGCTCTGAGTGAGGTGCCAGGCCACCAGATATCTCAAGGAGGGGTGTCTGACCAGGTCAACCATGGAACCTGTGGTCCTGTGGATTAGATCCTGTGTGTGGGGATGAAGTAGAGAAGCAGGGAGAACAAAGAGCGGCAAGTGACTTGACTGTAACATCAGCATGTTTGAGGTGTGTGTGTGTGTGTGTGTGTGTGTGTGTAGAGGGGACACTGGGGGCACAAAAGTCCCCTCTTCAAGAAGCTTTGCTATACAAGGAGAAGTGGGATGTAGCTGGGGAGTGAGGTCAAATCAGGAGAGGATTTTATGGAAAGAGAGCACATGTTTGAAAGCCTCAAGGAATCATCTTGTGCAAGGGAAACAGTGATGATGTGAGCAGAGATGGGACTTAGGTCAGTGAGCATGACAGGGAGACAGAAGGGCAAGGGGTGATGAAATATGCAAAGGATGATAGTAAATCGATTGATCCCGGAATTTAAGCAGCATTAGGACAGAGGAACACGAGGGTGACAGTGAAAAGGTGGTCTGAGGGCTTGAAGAAAACGTGATTTCCCACAACTTCCCTAAAGCAAGAAGGAAGAGAAGACTCTTCCTGGAGGACTGGAGTAAGCTGAATCCCCTCACTGTCCTGCTTCCAGAATCTGCAATGAAACAAACTACTTACAGAGTAAAATTAAAATAACGGATGTTCCTGTTGAGGCCATCTAGAGTTTTCATATCCTCTGGTGTCAATTGGAAGTCAAAAACCTATCAGAAATGTGAGAAGATCAACTCAATTTCCCTGAGGCAATTACCCCCCACTATCCATCCCACCCCCAGACACAGACACACAAATTCAAGCAGGAGTTTATGTAGGTTTATGAGAAGGTTGTCACAAATCTGGGGCTCACTCCCTGGCAATTCAGGTCACCCTCAGAGACTTCTATGAGGTGACTGTGGTAGCAGCAAAGGAATCCTAGAAATTTTTGAGCCCAAACCTCATCTCATCTAACTCCCTCTTTTTCAGCTGAAGAAATTAAGACATGATTTTCCCAGGGTCATGCAGCTGGGTTAAAAACCAGGACTGAGACCAAACCTGACCCTGTTTAGTGTCCTTTTTTATACCCCTCCACCCATGCTGCAGCAGTTGGAGGGTAGAACCATTAAACACAGCACTACTATGCACAGAGTACAAGGAGACAAGCTTTGCCCCAACCAACATACATGGAGAGCCTCACCAATAACCTGCACCAGAGGCAATGCTGTGCCTGTCAGTGCCTGCTGCCCACAGCCCTACCATGCACCTGGAAGTTCTCTCAGATTCTCTTCTCACTGAAGCTCTTGGCCAGGACCACCACCCCCCGCTGCAGCTGGTAGCGCAGGGCCACCTGAGCTGGGGTTCGCTGGTGCTTGTCAGCGATGGCATTGAGTACTGGGTCCTCCAGGAGAACTGGGTTGTCCTTGTTCACCCTGGGAAGGAGGCAGACATGCTGTGTGTCTGAGGCTGCATATCCATTTCACTAGGGTCTGCTTGTTCAGGCTCGACACTGCTAGTCCTCTAGAATCTTCCTCACTAGCCTCTGGCTATGTCAAGGTCTTATTTTGTGTCTTTTGGTGAATCCAGAGAAGAACAACAGAGAATGTAAGGCAGAAATGGAAACAGATTTTCTTTCTCACTTTTAAAACATTTCTGACAAATTTAGTAAAAGGTCAAATAACTCAGAAAGACACAATTGTTATCCAAAATGAAACCCAAAGACCACCATCATAAAAAATAACTAGCTATTTTATAAGAACTTTCTATTTCACACAAATGCTTTCAATTAATTCTCTCAGTTTTGTCATCAAACACACAGGGGCGCCCAAACTTTTGGCATCACTGGGCCACACTGGAAGAAGAAGAGTTGTCTTGGGTCACATGTTGAAAACATTGTCACATGTAATCACAAAAAAGTATTGTAACGTTTTAATTAAATTTATGATTTTGTGTTGGGCTACATACATAACCACCCTGAGCCACATGTAGCCACTGGGCCACAGTTGGGACACCCCTGCAGGGTGCATAATTTATATTCCACTAAAGAGATAAAGAAACTACAATTTATAGAAGGGGTTACTTGTCTCACATCACTCAACTACTGAGTGTCAGAATCAAGGCTTGGGATGGCATTGTCACCCTTCAAAGACAAACCTTCTGAAATTTATGAACATCTTCATCAGTAGTGGTACTATTTGGTAAAGTTTTATTGAGACTTTACAATGTAGGCTAGGGAAAGGGTTGACAGACATGAATTATTCTTGCTGTCTATCCTTAATTTCTCCCAAAAGATACAGCATTTACAGTGAGAATAACTTTCTAGAAATTATTACCAATCCTTCTTGGGATCAGAGCCTAGGGCACTGTATGCAATGAGGACAATGTCCTTGGACTTGCAGAATTCCAGCAGTTTGCTCTGGTTGAGGTACAGGTGACATTCCACCTACAGATGCCAAGCAGAAGCATTTGTAATATAGACCACCAAATCTACAAGTAACCTAGAGTGCTGTAAAGCATGGCGGAGGGATCACAATACCAGAAAAGTTGTATTTAGGAATACAAAGTCATTGTAATCAAAACAGCCCTGTAGTAGCACCAGATCAGGCACATAGATCAATGGAACACAATGGAGAGCCCAGAAATAAACCCACACCTTTATGGTCAATTAGTATGTGACAAAAGGGGCAAGAGCATGCAATGGAGTAAAGTCAGTCTGTTCAATAAACAGTGTTGGAAATATTGAACAAGTACATGAAAAAAATGAAACTAGACCACCAACATTCACTGTACACTAGAATAAACTCAAAATAGATAAAAGACTAAAATATGAGTTGCAAAACCACAAAAGTCCTAGAGGAGAACATAGGCAGGGAAATCTCAGATATCCCAAGCACAAAATTTTCACTGATACGTCCCCTAGAGTAAGGGACATAAAGAAAAGAATAAACAAATGGGATTTCATCAAATTAAAAAGCTTCTGTATGGCTAAGAAAAACATCAGCAAATGAAAAGGGAACCAACAATATGGGAAAATACATTTACCCATGATACCTGGGACAATGGTTTGTTCTCCAAAATATACCAAGAACACACATGACTCCACACCAGGAAGACAAACAATCCAACTAAAAAATGGGCAAAGCAACTGAATAGACATTTCTCCAAAGAGGACATAAAGAGGGCCCACAGACATATGAAAGGTTGCTCAGCATCACTAGCCATCAGAGAGATGCCAGTTAAAACCACAGTGATGGCCATTCTGACTTCACACTGGTCAGAATGGCCATCAGAAACAACACTTGGAAAACAAGTGTTGGGAAGCTGTGGAGAAAAGGGAACCCTAGTGCACTGCTGTTGGGAATGCAGACTGGTATAGCTATTGTGGAAAACTATGGAATTTCCTCAGAAAACTAAAAATAGAACTGCCCTTTGACCTGACAAATCCAGTGCTGGGATTATACCCTAAGAATATTGAAATACCAATACAAAAGAACCTATGCACCCAAAACTGGAGAGCGTTATGCTAAGTGAAATAAGTCAGGTGGTCAAAGACAAATACCATAGGATCTCACCTATAAATGGAACTTAGTCAACAAAACAAACAAATAAGCAAAATATAACCAGAACATGAAAATAAAGAACAAACTGACAGTGACCAGAGGGGAGGGGAGAGGGGGGTAGCAAGGGAAAGAAGGGGGAGGGTCAAGTGAAGGAACATGTACAAAGGACCCCTGGACATGGACAATGGGTGGGGGAAGGTTGAATGTGGGACGTGGGGGTGGGTACTGCCCGGGAGAGTAACAGGGGGGCTGGAATGGGGACAAGTGTAATTGAACAACAATTTTTAAAAAAAGAAACCAAAAGAAACACAATTTTTATGGATTTAGTAAAACTCCAAAATAAAATTTTTGAAGAACAAATAGCTACATGAAAAACTAAAAAGAAAACAAGTGACATGGCCTTGGGAACTATCCTCAACAATTTGAAATACATTCTGTTCTCTTGAAGCAGCTGGGGTCCCAAGGTGCAATAATGAGAGGGAGTGCCACTGGTGACCTGTGGATATGAGAGAAAAAGTAAGATGAAGAGGAGGGACAAGTCAGAGGGGTATTAAAGAGGCTCACCTGGTTGCAGACAGGTTTGTACTTGAGCCCTGACTTGTTGAGGATCATCTCCAGCTGCCTGCGGTTAAAGTTGGACACACCAATGGACTTGGCCAATCCTGCCTCCTTACACTTCTCCAGGGCCTGGGGAGGAAGGGGTTAGGAGGCATCATCTGTGTAACTGGCTAGAGAAGTTCAATAATGGGAGCTCACTGAGAGTGGGGGCTGAGGATGGGAGAGAATATGTGCCAGAGCAGGAGAGAGAGGTCTTGGAAGGTTCAGGTGTCAATACACCTAGAAGAAAATGGCCAAGTGAGGAGAATAAAAAACACTAGGAAAACATGGGTAAGAAGATAAGAGTAAGGAGAGAATGCAAGTGGCCAGGACACAGCTCAAGGAGCCAGGATGACTTTAGCTGAACACCTAGAAAAATTGGATTGAGTGACAGCAAAACAAGCACCAGGAGAGCAGGAAGCAGAGCAGCTGCAGCATGGGGAACAGGACTGTGGCCCTGTTTTCTCTCTGCCCTCATTTCCTAGTACTGGCCACTGGAGTCCCTCTGATCCCATCCCACGTGCCCTCTTGCTGTTTCTCAAAGACGGTAGGGTGTCTCTCATCTTACAAACTTTGCCTTGGCCTTCTTTTGGCCTCTATCTCTCCTCACCCAGATATTCATATAATCAATTCCCTCTTTCTGCAAGTCTTTGCTCAAATGTCACCTTCTCAAGGAGGCCTGCACTACCCAATCTGTTTTTAATTACCTATCTGTTTTCCACCCCCGCCCCTGCCCCTGCACTCTCAGTTTGCCTGGGGGCAGAGACCTTGGGTTTATTCAGTAATGGTGTCTGACTACTTAGAGTACCAAGTACCAAGTACATCACAGGAATTTAATAACTATGTGCTGAATCATTAAACAAATGACTTGTGAAAACCAAGGCAAAGGGGCATTCAAGGACTTACCTGGGTTGACACAGGTGACAGAATTGAACTAGATCCATCTTGGCTGAATTCCTGCCTGTCCCCTCTCCATGAAGGCACAGAAGCTGTACTCACCTCCCACGTGCTACAGAGATCCACTGTGTCAAAAATGATTTTCCCATGGGAGTCCTTTGGGAAAATCTCCTCCCCAGGCTGGAACACAGGAAGGAAGGAGAGGTTGTACAATATAAAGCTAAGTCTGCCTCCAGCCAAGCTGTTTGGAGCCTATAAGTCTTGAGGCTAATGGAACAATCTATCCTCATTTTTGAAAGGAATTTTAAGTTTAGGATAAAGGGAAGGGAAGTACATTTAGGAAGTGAACCTCTTAGAAATGTTTTTAACTGCTAAAAGTTTGATAAATATTGTTTGTGTGAAAGACAAATTGAGACACCCAGGACACCATTCTAGAGAGGGCCTGGACTGGAGCCAAGCTCCTTGGTCCTGGGCCTGCTTCCTCCCCTCCCTCACTGGGAGGTGGTCCAAAGACAGGGCATCCTGCCTGCATCTCAAGGGCTAAGTCTCATCCTCTTTGAATTTCCTGGACCTCAATGGACCTCACACTTGGACACCCCCAGGCACAAGTGCACGTGGGCTTCGGGCTCAAGACAACGGGCATCCACAAGTTGAGACAAAACCATTGAAACAAATGAACTCTTGTCATTCTGAGGCTGAAATAGTCAATTGACAATGACACAGTTGCAGGAAAAAAAAAGGAACCTTAAAGTGTTATGTATATTTCTTCTCATTTTTGCAAGCTTTATTGTCTCTGGTGTTCAGCAACAATTTTTATATTGATAACCAAAGGAAAAAACTTTTTCTAAACTTCAAAGCTGTTGGGAAATGAATAAGAAAAAGATCCACATAGCTTAGCTGGAGTTTCCTTAGCGACATTTCCAGGGCAGTTTGGACCAATTCTGGGCGGAAAAAGGTGAGCCACAGCTGCAATGTTTAAAGGAGAAGGGGTGTGAGATTATTTCTTTAAAAATCTTTCTGAGAGATTTATAAAATAGTAAATAAGCATCCACAACCATACTTCACTTACTGTAGATGTGATGTGACAAATAACCTGGTGAATCTCTTAAATTCTGGATCATGACAACTTATTTTCATACAGAATTAAGACAAAAATGTAGCCAATGAAAATGTGTTCTACACAGAGGTTCTCCCATTTTAGAATGTAAAAGCACTATTTGGTTTGCTCATTAAAAACATATTCCTGAGTGCCACCTCCAAACATAAGTTACAAGTATCTGAGATAGGACTGGTAAATTGTTTTTTAAACACGAACTTTATTTGGGGGGATATGGAAACAAACAGGATCTATGAAGGGAGGATTAAAACATGAGACAATGAAGGGTCGTGTGGTAGCGGTATCACATCTAAACAGTCATGGGGAGACAAAAGTATGTAAGTACTTTTATAAAGAATAATTTCATCCTTATATTATTTTATGAGATAATGTCTACTTCATAGGAGAGAAAAATTAATGATTTTATTGACCACATCACAGATTGAATGAGATGTGATGGCTATAGTTTAGAGAGGTTAATAAACTTTTCTTCATTAACAAATTTCACAGTCAAATGTCTAGAATATTAAAGAACTAAAACTTATTGTTAGTTTCCAAAAACTTCCATTTCCTGACTCACTTGTATTTCCTCATACTAGAGCTAAGAAAGATTAAGTCACTTTGTCAAAACTTGAGTATATCTGAGTTGGAAAAGCCAAATCCATTTCTGAAAAATTAAAATAACATCAACAGAAAAACAGTATTTCTTAGCATTTAAAATATATTAAATGCTTTTCTAAAAGCTTGATATGTACCTTTCATGTAGCACTCATGAAAATCCTGTGAGGTAAATACAACAAAGTTTACAACAAAGTTTAAATAAGTTTCTGTCCAAGGTCGCACATTTAGTACAATTCACATACAGGACATCTGACCACAGAACCCACACTCCCAACCAGCATGTTCCTAAACCATCTACCATAGCCCAAGGTCCAAGAGTAAATCAAAATTAAACCAATGAGAGGAGAACTTTGCCAAGAAACTCTTCAGCAAAGAGTGAGCTTCTTACAGATACATATGCAACTCTACAGAGCACCTTCGAACTGAAGAATATGTCATCTCTCTTCACAGTGCCATCGGCAATCTTCTTCTGGATGGCTCTCCCAATCTCCTCCTCATTCAGGTATACACAAGACGAATCAATGTGGCGATAGACCACATCAATTGCTGTCTCGATGGCGCCCTCCACCTTACTCTTACCAACCTAGAAAAGCATAAAAAATAAAAATCCACTGCACTTCAGGAATGCATGACCAATTCCATAAGCAGAGCTAGTCAACAGAACCTATTGCTTTTCTAAGGACTAAGTGCTAGAAGTGACAAAGCTAACTGTTGACTTGTAACCAACAAGTGGTAAATGTTTAACAACTGACTCTGAGGAAAAGTCTAAATTTTATGGTCCAGATACTCCCCACATGGCTAATTTCAAGCTACCAATATGGGAAAAAAATGCTCACAATTGAATCTTGTGAACCTAAGAGGTGGACCCAGCACATCACTGGGTTTAACACTCTACCTCTGGATTTATACTCTCTATGTGATCTATAGATTTACACAACCGGTATATTTACATCCCTAAATTAATTCACTCTATCAGAGATTATTAAACTCATTTCAACTCAGAAATCCAAAGCTAAAAATTATCTATCAATGCAATGAAGATGTAACTTTAGATGGAATACATTAGTAATTTACCTATGTAAACTTGACAAACACTTCAAACACATCGAAGGAAGGACAAAAATATAAAAGAAAATAAACTCTTTTCACTCAAATAGCACATAATTTTGGTGGGTTACTAAGTTGGTCATTAAGTGATCATTTATCCTTCACAACTTGGTTATTTTTCTTAGCTGCCTTCTTTTCTCCTGGCCACCAGGCTGAACTTTTTAAGTTATCCGTAATTATTCCCTCTCCATGACCCTCTTCTACCTCACTCTATCATTAAAAGGTTTCAGGTACATTTTTAAATTTTCAACTCCTGATGGTGTAACTAGTCTCAGGGCGATTAACAGACTGTCCACAGACTGAAGAGCCAAATCAAAGGAAAGCAGAGCTTTGTGCCGGTGTCCTTGCCACAGTCAGCCCTCAGCTTTCACACCACGTGGCTCTCGTGCTCCAGAACCAACCCTACAGCTTTCCTTAAACAACCACAAACTTCAGCAAGAAGCACTGAAGCTGAGCTCTTGCAAGGTCACAGTGCTTGACCCAGAAACACGTGTGCAATTCAGTCTTCCAAAAATACAGAGAATTTCCAAGGGCCCCTTGGCCCTCCCCTTGGCACACAGAGACTATAGCCACCTCAGACCTCCAAAACTCTAACATTACTCTTGTCTCTCTTTCTCCAGGTCCTTTTTTGCTGAAATTGTTCTCGATAGTCTTTGTAGCAACTGACAGGGACAATTGGGCGGACATCAGAATTCACAGAGAAACTTCATCACAGGGAAGCCTGCTGCGAAGTCTCTGACCTGTGGTTACATGACAACTGGGCTCCACTTCTTCTCACAGACTGTGAAATGGCTACAACTGCACAGCAGGTGAGAATAACAGAATCAGACTCGCCCACCTGCAACTGCTGGAAGGTGATGCCCTCCCATCTCCCTTGATACAACGCTGCTCCAAGTGTGGCCCTTGGACAAGCAGCAGCAGGATAACTTGGTAGCTCCCTAGAAACATGCACTTTTGAGCTTTCTCCCAGATCCATTCAATCAGAAACTTTGTGGGTGGAACCCCTAAGGCTACATCTCTAACTAGATTCTCAGGTATTTTATGCCTATGATATCTGAAAAGCACTGGCTTCCTGCACAAAATAGCCTAACCTGGAGAGAAGGCACACTAACCATAAACAAACAAAGGCCCCTCTGAATTCCCCAAATGCACACAGTGACTAGTTCTGAGCAGGGCCCTTTCTGTCCCCTTCCGTCTCCAGTGCCATTACAGTTACCTCATGAGGAGCCGAGGTGCCAAGTCCCAGAACAGGCATGAAGTATCCATCATTCAGCTTCACAGAAAAGAGTCTCGTTGCACTCATCTCCTTTCACTCTTTTTGTTAAACAAGCTGATTTTCTTCATTAAAAGAATTTTCAGAGAGAAGCTAACAGTACAGTTACTGCCTTTAGCAGCTTTAATGAGGCATAAGTTACATACCATAAAATCATCCCCCTTAATTATACAATTCAGAGGCATTTAGTATATTCTTAGAATTGTTACCACTATACAACTTTAGAGAATTTTCATCATCCTTGAAGAAACCCCCATACTCATTAGGAACGAGTCCCCATTCTCCCTCCTTCCAACCCTTGGCAAGTACTGCCTGTCTCTGTGGATTTGTCTATCTGGAAATTTTATGTAATTGCATTCAGACAGTATGTGGCATTTTGTGACTGCCTTCTCTCACCTAGCTCAGTGTTCTTAGGGCTCATCCATGTTGTAACGTTTATCAGTACTTCATTCCTTTTCACGACTAAATGCCATCTCTTTGTGTGGGTATACCACTTTTTGGTTATCCCTTCATCAGCTGATGAACACTTGGCTTTTTCTACTTTTCACCTCTTGATGACATTTACGTACACATTGTTGTGTGGACATACATCTCCACTGAACATGAGAAAGCTTTCTATCTCTTTGCATCTTCAATTTCTTTCATTATTTTGTAGTTTTTCATATAGAGGATTTTCACCTGCATCGTTAAGATTATTCTAAATAGTTTATTCTTTTTAGTGCTGTTACAAATGGGATTGTTTTTCTAATTTCCTCTTCAGGTAGTTTGTTGTTAGTGTATAAAAACAACAAATTATTTTTCTATGTTGATTTAGATGCCCTTTATTTCTTTTTGTTGCCTAACTGCTGGGGCTAGCACTTCTCTTACCATGTTGAATTGAGTTGGCAAGAGGGAGCATCCTTGCCTCCTTCCTGGTCCAGATACTGTCTATGTCTGCCCTCAATCCTGCCAATGTTCGCTTTATATATTTAGGTGTTCTGATGTGGGGGCAGTGTATATTATCATTGTTATATCTTCCTGCTGTCCTGGTACATTGACACTGTTATTCAATTTTGTAGTTTTTGTTTTTGTTTTTAATTCCAGAGAGAGTGGAAGGGAGGGAGAGAGATAGAAACATCTATGGACTGGCCTCTGTATTCTCTCCAACTGGGGACCAAATCTGCAGCCCAGGCATGTGCCCTGAACAGGAATCAAATATGCAAAGTTTCAATCCACAATACAACATTCCAACCACCTCAGCCTGGGCCCTTTTATTGTTTTATAATGCTCTTCTTTGTCTTCTTACAGTTTATGACTTAAAGCAATTTGGTCGAATAGCCACACTCGCTTTGTTGGTTTTTATTTACACACTTTTTCTCTCCCTTTACTTTTGGCCTAAGTGCTCTGTGCTCTGGAATCTAAAGTAAATCTCTTATAGACACACATAGTTCAGTCTTGGTACTGTTTGTTGTTAGTTCGTTGTCACTCATTCAGTCTCTATCCTTTGGGGAGTTTAATTCACTTACATTTAAAGTCGTTATTGATAGGGAAGGTTCTACTATGCCATTTTGATGGTTGTCTTCTGTTAATCTTGTTCTTTCATCTGTCTTTTTTTTTCTTTTTTTCTCAATTACAGTTTACATTCATTGTTATTTTGTATTAGTTTCAGGAATGTGTCTTTTTCTCTCTTGTTGTCTTCCTTGTGTTTTGTTGATTTTCTGTAGTGATACCCATTGGATTCTTTTTCTTTTGTATAACCTCAATAGGTAATTGTTTGGTGATTACCTTGGGGGCTTACATGAACTATCTTATAACAGCTACACCATGCTAAATCCATCAGACTTTCAAGACTAGTAAGGCAGAGGCTAGTTCTTTATCAGCCCCTGAGCAGATGGAGCACTGGATGCATAAATCAACTCTTTCCTCCCCAGCCCCACCCCAGGAAGCTGAGATCTGGGGCTTTGTATCAGCTCACTCTGGGCAGAGCAGACAGAAGGGTGTTTGGTGTCTGCCAGCCCATGCTCCCATCTCTGCCTACCCTGGGTGGCTAGACCATGCCCGACCCAGCAGAGCTCCGGGACTATTGAGGAAATGCTAGTTGTTTGGGAAGCCCTGGGGAACTAGATGAGCTGGAAAAATAAGGATGGGAACAGGGCAAGTTAAGATGCCACATGACTCACTGCTCTTAATGAGGTGCACTGATTTTTCTTGAATCAGTACTCCTTGGATTTTGTCTTTGGTTAATTCATAGTTTTTAAAAATTGATTTTGACTATTTTAGCCATTGTTTAGTTGTTCCTGTGGGGATCACATTTTCAGAGGTCTTTCTGCTGCCATTCTAGAAGTGATTTTCTGTTGGTATTTGATTGCTGTATTTTGTTTAAAAATTTACAACATGCACAAAATGGAGAATAACATGGTGAACCTCCATCCATGTGCCCATCACCCTGCTTCAACAATTGTCAGCGTTTTACCTGCACTATTCCATCTCCCTCCCACTTTTGCTCTGCCTGAGCACAGCAAAGCCAAGCCCATGTATTACATCCTTCATCCTTACATAACTGACTCTTCGCCTGATGATGTGATGCCATCTGTGCTATGAACACATTTACAAAATTAATAATAATGTGTTAACAACATCTTCTGTTTGGTCCATATTCAGATTTTCCTGATTGTCTGAGAAATATTATTTTACATTTATCTGTATGCATGTACACATAAATATTCTTTGGTTTACTGCATGAATCAGATCAGCTGTCTTAGAGAACATTCTACTGGTCAGTTACCAGATGGGGATCAGCCCAGGAGCAGGCCTGCCTTGGCCAGCCTGTAGTTTGTGGGTTCTTGACTTCGTGTAAGAAAGATTTCACAGCATGAGTCCAAGTGATTTTGCAAGTACATTTATTAGAGCTGGGGACAGTGAACCAAAGGAAGGATTTAGGGCACAAGTGTCAACAGGAGAGCCTAGGCGGGGCTGCTTTGGCTCCCCAGAAACATTACAGAAAAGGAGTGAGCCATGCAGGCTGCACGGACACACTGAGAAGTAAAAGGCACAGAGACAGAAGTAAGCCAAGACAAGGCTGCTTTTAGTCCATGGAAGGCCAGAGAAAAGAGGACTTTGAAGACAAGTTCAGGGGGTAAGGCTGAGATGAGCTGCAACTGCCTGCTGCTCCCCTGGCTGCAAGTCTGATGGGGAGGGGGCCCTTAGAGTTTAAGAAAAAGAAAGTAAACAGTTTGTGCCTGAGCAAAGGAGTGTGCATGCTCCAGAGAGAGCCCACACTAGGTCCTTTGTCTTGAGGCTTTAATCTTTTCACAGGGTGTGGGAATCCTTGGCAGGTCTCAGGATAGGGTCTTAACAGAATATTAGTTAGTTTTCTGGCTATGCCCTTCAATATGTTGATTCATCAAAATGAGTGCATTTTGGTGAGGTCGGGGTCATTCTCTGGTCAGTTTCATCTTTAACGAATGTCCTTGAAGTAGGGATCAGAGGGAGAAGGTCTGCCCTGGCAAGGCCTGGAATGTGTAAATCATTTGCTCCTAAGTGTCCTTGGTTAGGGAAGACAAGACCTTGTGATTCAGTAGCTGGCTGTAAATTGCTCAAATCACCTGGCTTTGTATGATTGTTTTGTCTGAGTTTCCCCATTCCACTTGCCAAGGAATTTTCATAGCTTCTCAGTACCCTGCCTCAGTTCAACATTCTGGATTTGGTTTATTGGTTCCTCTGTGGTTTCCCTGAGGTTGTCCCTCATCCCTTGAACTTCCTAAAAATGGGCGTTGGATCTAATTGCTTGCTGAGGTGCAGTTTTAGTTTTTTCAAAAGTACTCTTTAAGTGGGTTGTTTACTTCCTATTTCATCACATCAGGAGGCAAATAATGCCTACATTTCAATGGCTTTTTTAATTTATTAATTCAAACTTAGAAATATAGGTGGGCCTACAGTTAGAATTTCATTAAATAGCTTCCAGAGAAAATAATTAAAGATTAATCATTCTAAGAGCATGTTGTGATAATACAAATGGATAGGGTTTGTCCAATTCCTTTCTACCATCTAATATCCCTAACAATTAGAGCAGATTTAATCAAAAGATTCTGGCAAGTGTTGGGAGATTAATTTCTGTATTCTTACTAGCTCTGTTTTAAACTCAAGTCCCTTCCTGCTTGTGCCTGATTCAGTGCATTCAAACATCCCCCCAACCTCCCGAAAAACACCACAAATTACTAATAAATATATTCAACCTCACTTGCATATATGAAATACACCTTAAATGTATGTTAACTGGACTTCTTGTGGGGCTCTCTTCACAATATACACAAATATTTAATCACTATGCTGTACACTTGAACTAAGAAGTGTTTTATGCCAATTATACCTCAATAAAGATTATGTTTCTGTGCAAAGTAAATATACATTAAAAATGAAATATCACCTTCATCAATCTATCTAGCATTTTTAATGTGGTGTCCTGTGCTGCCCCAGCCAATGAGAAAGGAACTTCTATGCTCGATCCATGAGAGTACACACCCTGGGGGCACAGCCCTTGGAGAACCTGGCTTGGAAATATGAGATAAGAGCTTCACAATAGAGCATAGCTTTAATACAAAAAATATTCAGTTCCTGGCCTTCTATCCTAAGTAAATTAGCTAGTCAAAAAAAGATATGTGCAAAGATGTTTTTGCAACATTGTTAGTAATAGAGAAAGCTGGAGAGCTGTTCCATGACCCAGGACTGAAAAATCACCACAATTCACTATGTCAGTTACAATGAATGGGTAGCTTATTATAACATGATAAAGTACACATAGTATAAATAATGCATACAAATGATGTTTATGCAGTATTATAATGAAATGGGGAATTAATACACTGCTACATCACACTGAAGTATCAAGTACAGAGATGTGCATGAAGTAGATTTAACTATGTAAACTATGCATACAAGGAGGATGAAAGTCCAAAATGTTGACAACTTTCATGCTATTTGTTTCATTCTGATTTTGTTCTCTTACCTGTAAGGCAAGTTTTAAGATTTCTAAATGAAAGAGTATTACTTTTGAAGAAACAGATTACAATTATTTTAAAATTACCTGGATTTGTAGACTTTATTGCACAGTTGGCCTCAGTGAACTTCCCAGCAAGAGCCCAGCCTCTGGTTCTTAGGCTCCTAAAATGCCGTCTTCTCAGCCAGCTTGCTCCTGACTTCTGTTCAGACCTCTCCCTGTTCTCTCCCTTGGATGTCTGCTCTTGACCCCACTACCTAGAACTGCTTCCCTCTCTGTCACACTGAATTTAAAACTGCTTCTGAGAACTTTGAGCCAGGACAAAGCCCCCTTGGGGGAGGGCACAAGTCACACCAGGGCTTGTGTACTGGGTTTGACAAAAGTCTGTTTGGTTTTTGAAGATTTCATGGTTTTAAAAATCATTTTGAAAACACCCAGTTTCCTTTTTTTTGCTCACTATAGTACTAACAGTCAGGCCTTACTAAATAAATGTTAAATATGAAATAATGAAAAAAGAGACATCCATCTTCTTGGAGAGTAAATATTTTTATCTTGCATCAGGAAATTCAAGACAGCCCTAAATATTGTTGCCAGAAACCAAGGCCTGCTTACAAGGGTTTCCAGAACAACTCTGAGAAAACAAAGGCAGCTACTGAGGGAATTCCATCAGACAAGCCATGACAACTGGAAAACAGATAATGCTACCTTGCCATTTAGAACAACTTGAGTCTGTGGAAAGCCTTGAGTTCATAACTGTACTGAAAAAACAATTAAGATGTAGTTTGTAAAAAAGTAGTTGAAATGTATATATTTCATTTTAAAAAGATGGACAAAAATAAAATAGGTTTAATTTCTCACTATTTTCATTATGTTGGGCAGGTAAACATATGTGAATAATTTTTCTCTGGTATTAATATCAGGTTATAAACAGCTTCTACAGGGAAAAATAAGTATAAAATATCATTGAAGACATAGAATATTACCTGAATAAGTAAAAATGTATGTAAAAATTTATGGATAGTAAGACAGTTCATTAAAATTTTACTTGTCATAAAATAAAGCACACATTCAAGAAATTCTATTTAAAATTCCCAACAAGATTTTAACAATTTGACACAAATATTTTCAAGTGTATATAAGAATATCAATGCCAGAGAGAAAAAGTATGAAAAAAAAACTATGAAGGAAACTTTCTTTACTGGTCCTCAGAAATTATTTCAAAGCCAATATAATCTAAACAATAGTACCAGTATAAGGTCACACAGAAATACCAGTGGAACAGAGTACAAAATACAGCATTAGTTTTTATTTATATGGAAATTTAAAATATGATTACAGGGTAGTGTAATTCAGAAAAAAATAATTAATTATTTCATACATGATATTGGAACAAATGGTTATCTACCTCAAAGAAAATATCATTGGTTTCCCCTCTTACACCATATATGTAAGTAAATTCCAAGTACATAAATGGTATAAAGTATAAAAAAAGAACAAAACTACAAGAAGCAACCATGCAAAAATCTTGTGTGAGAGGAGACCAGGAAAGTCAAACTCTATGAAAGAATTACTAACATATTTAACTATATAAACTAGTAGAGTTAGTAAGCAAATGAGAAATCTATGAAATATTTATAAACCAAGTGAAAAGAAGCTGATATTATAACCTAAGAGAGCTCTTGAAGTTAACAAGAAAAAGACAAATAAGTTATAAAGTTTGACGACAATCACAGGAAGAAATCACCCAGAAGAACAGTTCCAATGACCACAGCACAGCACCGGGTGTTTAGACTCACTCATAGTTAGGGGAAGGCACATTAGAGCAATACAGAGATTTCAGTTTCTAGCCACCTGATTGGCAAAAATATAAAAGAGTCACATTATCTCTTGTGGGTAGGAGTATAGATAAGAAAGCAATCTTTCCTATATTCAGCTAGATGTGCGAAACTGAGTTTGCAATTCAATCTGGCAACAACTATTGAAAATACAAGTTCATATACTCTTAACTCATAAACCCTGATCCCACAGAAATAAAAGTTTCTCTGTAACAGTATATGTATAAGGCTATTTTACATAAGCATATTTAGCACCAACCCTGGGACCTGAGCAAACAGTCACACATGGGAAAGTCACTCAATAATCACGGTGCATTCATTCCATGTGGTATTCACTACACTAGTGCACTTGGAGAAATCTCCATGTGGTGAACATAGGAAAGTCTGTACAGTCATCCCCCTTATTCATGGGGGAATGGTTCAAAGACCCATACTGAATGCCTGAAACCTCAATTAGGGCTGAACTGGATACATACTATGGTTTTTCCATACATACACATGTATGATAAAGTTTAATTTATAAATTGGGCACAGACAGAGATTAATAACAATACTAAGGTTAACAATAACTAAAAATAAAACAGAATAATTATAACAATATACTGTAATACAAGCTATGTGAATGTGTTCTCACCCATCACAAAATATCATATGACACTGTAGTGGCCCTTCTCATGGTGATGTGAGATGCTACAGTGCCCACATGGTGAAGGGAGGTGGACACGCTGGGATGATTCACATCCTGGGCAGGATGGACTAGTACCACACAAGAGTTCATCACACTACTCACAAGGGTGTGCAGTTGGAAACTTAGGAACTGTTTCTTTCTGGAAATTTTTACTTAGTATATTTGGGCCATGGTTGATCACTAGTGGCTAAAACCTCAGAAATCAAAACCAAAGATAAGGGTGGGCTGGAGGGTGTTCTATTGTATCAGGATCCAGTTTTAAACCACAACAAATATTTTCCACATAATACATATATGAGCATAAACAAAATACAGAAAGCCTATATTAAGCTAACATTCCTTACTATGAAGACTTGCTGAAAAGAATAAAGTGAAGAGACTTTATGGGGAACACAAGCCAAAAAGGAAAATTTCAACCAGAAAGCATGTATATAATTATTTAAGTATTTATTTAAATTTATAAATATATAATTTTTCTTGACATACAAAAAATTAAATTAAGTCATAACAACTTACAGAGACAGTAAATGATATAGCACTCAGTACACCCCTTCAAAGACCAAGAGAGGTGCATTATAATTTGCAGCTGAGTCCTGGGAGTGATTGGAAGAGGGAGAAGCCTGACATCAGGAAGACTTTGCACATGTGAAGTGGCCGCCTAGTCCATGTCCAGCTGTGAACATGAAGAGTGCAGGTAAAGGCAGAGAAGACAATGGGACAGTTTTTATATGCTGACCTGCCTTTCACTATTTGCATTGAGAAACTGGCAAAAGAAGTCGGTGTCGATTCTCAGGGCACGTTTGTTTGTAAAACCCTGTCTTATAGACACAATTAAGTCATAGACTACATTATGTATTGTAATCAAAGTGTTGCGGAAGATCACTCACTCGTGGACAGATGACAAAGCACAAACTTTATTACCCGGGGGGCTCCACGGGGAGTTAAGCATCCAAATCCTCTGAGCCAAAAAGGCTGGGCTGGAGTCTTCTTTAAATACTTGTTACAAGGCAGAAAGGAGGAGGGGGTGAGTCATTTGCTAAAGCAAGCATACAGAAGCAGAAGTGAAGCAAAGGTCAGTGTTTTGGCCTTGAGATAACGTTATGGTGGTGACGTCTGCTAGTCAGCTCCTCGTCATATAAAAACAAAGCATTTTGCAAGTGTTACAGACAGCACTGCTTATCAAAGAAGTTACAGAGCATAGAAACTTTTTCATGGGGGTTCTCTTTTCCTGCCACGTTCCCCCCTTTGATGCTATAAGGTGTTTTATCCCTTTTAGCATCACTAATACCTGGCTATAAGGCTGAGGTCCTTGGGAGGATTATAACCGCTGATACTGGTGTTGGTACCACTGGAGGGCTAGCACTTTGGCGACTGCCCTACAAGTTCCTGTAACCTTAGGTGTTGGACTAAGGTCCAGAGGATGCAGGTTCCCATATGCCTGACACTTCCGGGTTTGCTACTTTATGGTCCTGGATGTTACTTCAGTCTGGCATACCTTTCCTCCCCAAGTGCAGAGGGATTGCTGTGGCTGAATACAACACGATGGCACGTCAGTGGCGGAGCTGAAAGCTGACTCTGGGAGATAGTAAGAGACCACACTACCATTGAGCACAATTCTGTGCCTGGGGTATTACATTTCAGTCTGGGGCTGAGACAGGGGCCACATTTGTTAAGCAAAGCATACAATAAATTTAAATACAGAGACAAAACAGACACAAACTATTTCTAGGGTGAACCGCTTTGCGGGGATTCCATTCCTCAGGGGCCACAGTCACTAGTCCAATTGCCAATGCTCCTGCGAAGGTGCCAATTAAAGTCAGGTACCCTGCAGAACAATGGCTTATTCCTTGGTGTCTTCTTTACTGGCTGGCGTCCTCCGGTGCCTCAGCGTGGGTATTCTAGGCACAGGCTTAGTCCTTGGGTCCTCGGGATTTGCTGCTGTCTTGGCCCGGTGTAGTGGATCCAAGGGGTGACTCCCAGCACCCTTAGGTATGCTGACCGCACCAGGCAGATCCACTGCAATGCCATTATCAATGAGGATCCTAATGCCCGGCTGATCCGAGAGCTGCAGGAGGAGGTGGCTCGGCTATGGGAATTGCTGATGGCTCAGGGGCTCTTAGCCTCTGATCTGGGAGTCCTGAAGGTGGACGAGGGGAGTCCCGGAGGTGCTCTGCCAGCTATAGCGTCCCCCTCTGCACCAGCCTTACCCACATTCCCCCCTTTGGCTGCACCCTGTAACAATTTTTTATTTCAGTTATACACCCACTTTAAATGTTTTTAAGGATAATGGACGAAGGTCTTATCTTCTTGTAACTGCTTCTGGCTGGAAATGAACGTTGTTCTACCTACCCATGGGTCTGGGGTGCCCTGAAAGGGGGTGCAGCACGGAGGGAGTCCTTCCTGTAAGGGGAGGGACCTTACAGAATTCTGGTCAGTTGGCTGTTACCAGGAAGTTGCAGGCTTGGTGTCCAAAGGCTGGCATTACTGGACGGTTGGCATCCTGGTTATATTCTGGAGGTGACAGATTTGGAAAGAGTTGGAAGGCGCAATTAAATCATAACCGCTAAATGACAGAGGCAGGGGCTTAGGTAAAGAATGGCTTGTCTGGAGGAAGGTGTACAAGGCATGCTACACCTATCCAAAACTCTTGTGGCCCATTATACTTTACTCGGGCTGAAGGGAATATTTTATGATTCCCCTTCTTTCAGATACCTGTCCAAGCCACTAAGACAGAAAAGGGAAAATCAGTTTTAAAGTGAAGCCCACAGATTGCCCAACCTGC